GAATTATAAGACAAAATTATTTAATGCGTTCATATTCGTAAACTTTAGATTTCTTTAATGTGTATTCTACTTCGTAATGAAATTTATACCTTAGCCGATTTTGTCAACTTCTTAATGAGAATAATCTTTAGAGGGAGCATTAAAATTAAAAAGAAACAACAGCTACGATTAATATCTGTTCAGGATAATACTTTATTGGGGAATTTCCTGAGTAGCAAGGGTTTGAGATTTTTACTCAAAGTTCAGCATGAGATAGTGAATTAGTCAAGTTACTTAATATACATTTGAACTCTTAGGTAAAGCTCTTATTATAATATGACTTTGCATTTAGCATTAGATATACAAAATACTGTAAGGTCTCGTTTTATGCGGTAGATACGTTCTACAGAAAAGCGCATATATATATATAGATTAGAATTTTTTACTACTGAAGTCTAATTATTGTTCTGTTTTTATAATTATTATTCAAATAAGAAAACTGCAGATACATTATGCAATAAAAAATGCAAACATGATATGACATTAAAAATATAAGATACGTTTTAAAATTCTAATATACAAATACTTAAAAGAAAAATATATGTCAAAATAAAAACATGCTACTATTCAAATTTAATAATAAAAAAAAATTAATACCATCCATTCTGGCAATAATTCTGAAGGTTGTTCACTTGGAGATATTATCAAATCTGGATTAAATGATCTGATGGTTTGATTAATTGCTGGAGCCTTATTGTGCTTAAAATAATACTAAAATGAGAAGAGATTTCATTAGTACAATTCAACAAAATTAATTTTATTCATGTGAAAATATATAAATTTAATCTTCTTAACAGCTATTTTAAATTTGCTATAAATTTTAAAGACTTATCAGATCACAGTTTTCAATTGATAAGTTCACTAAGATTTTATTAAACCAATATTTACAATAGCTATTAAGAAGATTAATTAAAATATAGGACAAAAAGCAAATAATTATAATTAATTGCTAATATTGTCAAAATTCTTATAGCAGCTGCAGCAAACTGCATTTAGGTAAGGCACAATAAACCAAATAACTGGATTTTACTGAATTATCTTTAAATGCAAGGAGGTGCAAAATTATGTATCCCTTTTCAGTTTCAAAATTTAGACTTGGGATTTACATATGTTGTGCAATATACAGTACCTAATGACGATAACACCTATAAAGGATTTTGATTCCTTATTGGTTGTCAACATAATGACCTTCACAGTCAGTGCATAAGCTCATATGCTGTTTAGTTTCTTTCGAAATTTTGTTTAACATAGCCAAGGTAACAAGTCTCATGATTTTGGTTTCACACATCATCAACAAGGATGTTTCTTGCTTTCATTATATTGCTCCTGTTCTTAACCCCATAAGAAGTCTAATAGAGGGTGAGTAAGTGAGGAGGTACGGTGAAGGGCACACATTCTAAATGCCTGTCTGACCTACAAAAAATGTTATCTGAGTATTGAGGACAACAGCAACCAGTGCAGCAGGACTCCATCTTGCTGCAGAAACCCCTTGATCATCCAGCAGTCATTGCTACTGCATATCAGGCAACATCATCTTCATTGAAATAGCATAGAAGAATTCTCCTATGATGGCATCATTGGGGGAAAAAAGATATCAAAATTGTGCCAGACATCAAACACAGGATATTCACTTTTAAAAGAGTTGCACTTGCATTGTCATTCAAGCATGGAATAAAATGTGGCAGTTCCACTTGTTGATACTTCCTGAGAAAAGAAATGCTTCTGAAAAGAGCAGTTTGGCCAATAGAATTTCTAATGAAAGATCTGTTCTGTCTATTGAGAAAGAACAGAAAAATCTGACATGCTGACATCCTCTTCCTCTGGTTGTCAGTGTTGCTCATACAATCATGCAATGTTTGAACACTGTATGCCTTGAAGTTCAATGTATTTGCCAGTATATGTTGCAGGGATCAGCTGAAGATCTACAATTGCAAAACGCATGTTGATTGCTTGCAGGCTAGCCAGGAAGAACTGTTAAACTTGCNGTGATGATAATTGTTATATATAAAATCTTAAAGTTTCATCGTAATCGTAATAAAAGATACATTACTGATCTTCAGCTTGGGTAAAAGTCACTTTTAAAATTAAACAACTTTATGTGTAATTTTTTAAGTTCTATTTAATGAACATACATTTACACAGAATATTTAAGCAATTTCATTGTATATTTTTATTAAATGTGATGATAATTGTTATATATAAAATCTTAAAGTTTCATCGTAATCGTAATAAAAGATACATTACTGATCTTCAGCTTGGGTAAAAGTCACTTTTGATTTTTCAGTACAGGACAAAAATCCACAAGAAGGTAGAAGTTCAGGATACATGAAGACACGACTATTGGCAATTATATTTCTAGTATGAAAATTGATGTTAGCTGAAAATAAATATTTGAAGCAAATTAATTAAATTCACATATCATAAATTTTTACTCCTATTATTTTTCAGTTTAAGAAAAATTTTTTAATCTAACATGTCCTTTTGATATTAAAAAAATTTGAATTCAACTAAATCTCTGAAAATTATAAAACCAGAATGATATACAAAATAGAATACCAAATCATTTTAAAGATGATTAACCTGACTGTAACATAAAAAATCTAACAATAAATAATAACACAAACTTAATATATTTCAATGGATCTCAGATTACCAGTGACTATAGTTATAGCTGTAGTTATATGATCAGATATCATATAACTATAACTGCAATTAAACAACTGATAAATTGAATATATCTTAGTTCCATTACAAATCGATAAATTTCATTCCTATTATTCTATTACATTTATCTACAAAAATATAAATGAAAAATTACATAAATGATTTAATAAGTTCAAAAAACATCAAAATGTTATATGCATCTAAGTAATAAAATAGTCGTGTTTTTTTAATTTCTATTTTGTTGCATATTTCTATAATGTTTTTATTGTTGTTTATACTTCTTATATTAGTTTGATTTTAAAAAGATTGTTTATTAATTAGAAGGAGAGTCATCCTATGTCTTTAAAATTTTCTAATTTTTGTATGAATAAATAAATAAAAATACATAAGTTAGTATCTCATATACAAAATTACTTACTTCCTCTCCTAGCAGTTTTAGAAACAGTAGTAGAAGCTTTACTGGATAAATTAAGAAAATTATTTCTAGATACTAATTTCCAAGCATCATCTAAATTGTATGCATTGAATGCAGATCTTTGGCCAATAGGAAAATCTCTTTTTCCAAATCTATTTATTTCTTCCTAAATATAGATTGTTTCAAAATCATAAAATTAAAATATACTTGAAAAAGTAGATGTTCTAGATTAAAAACAAATATATTTACAATTATAATTTAATAATATTTAAAAATGTAAGAAATTACCAATAAATCATAGGCAATATTTGAAACTGTTTTCAAAGCAGGATCATCTTTAGATAATAGAAATTCTTGTGTAAGCAACTGAATATGCTGAAATTTATCATCAAAAACAATAGATAAATAGAAGTATAAGTTATTTTCATACAAATTTTAAACATTACATATTTTTAAATACAAAATAATATAAAAATGCAATTAGTTCTCATATATTGTTATATTCCAGTTAAAAATGTAAATTTAAAAATATCCAAAACATTATCATATATAAAATAAAAATTAATTTAAGTATTCTCAAATAAAGACACTAAGTTTGTAAATGCAAATAATTATTGCATTCATGAACTTGAAATTTTTAGAATTATTTTTATAGCTGAAATGTTTTGAAAATCCTTATAAACTTTATCTTCAGCAGAATTGCATTTCCTATGATGTAATTCTGCTGAATATATAGTTTGTAAAATCTTAATAATGTTTTGGATAAAACAATAATTAAGCCAGCTCTTTAATGAAAAGTTGGTAAGAATTACATGTAAAAATTAATTTTATCTAATGTAATTCTACACTTTGTTTCAGATTAAATTAAATAAAAAATATCAATTATCTTGCATAAAAAATGAACTTTTGCATTTAAATATATTTTGTAAGAGTAAAAGTTGATTAATTAGGCATATTTTAACTTCTATAAAATCATTTTCGTAGTAAACAAATGAAATTTTACTACAATTTTTTAACTATTATTAACAAAATAAATATATTTTGAGACATTTTAAACAAGAAACTTTTTCTGTGATGTGATAAAAACTTGGTCATTATTATTTTATTCATGATATTCATATTTCATAATTTAAAATTTTGAAAAATTATATTAATTAAAAGTTTATTTTTAATTCATACCAAATTATATTTATAAATTTTTACAGCTCACACGATTTTATTCTCTTTTCACAAGTGTTAGTGATTATATCTGCTAGTCTAAATATATAAAATTACTTGTCCTGACTGACTGATTCATCATCACCCAGAGCAAACCGCAGAACCTAGAGGTGAAATTTTGTACACAGTTAGGGTACATCATGAAAACATGCCCTAAGAAGGGATTTTTCGAAATTCCCGAGGGAGGAGGAGGGAGAGGATTAAGGCTTAACATGAAGAACGGCTTCTACTGTACTATTTTACATGCAATTTTTTGTTTTCAACTATGTTTAGTTTTCATTGAGTACTTAGGTGTATTAAATTGATAACATTTCAGATATTGTTATAAATATTTTTATATATTTCGATTTTTTAACCAAATGTTTGAACTGTTTTAAATTTGAATTTGTTATTGCATATTGGTTCGATTATATCAATAGAAGGATTGTTAATATTCCAGAAAATTGATCAAATTGAAAATAGTTTGTTTGATTCTCAACAATTCTCATCATCATTCTCAGCAGTAGGTGTTATATAACAATTACTGTGGTTGTTGAAATACTGAATATAAATGGGGTTTGCTTGCAAAACCCCTGCGGGTGAAGTCGCAAGTAACAGCTAGTATAATTATATATTGAAATGAAACTGTCTTTTAAGTATTATTTTTTCTTCTGTTTTATCATCAATTTATAAGTTTAATTCAAACAGTTTCTGTGCACAAAATCATGAATGAAAACTGCTTCACTGTCAATTATAAGAAAAATTATGTCAAGTTGAAAGTTATAATATTTAGTCCTATGTAAACCATGTGACTATGTAATTATAAAATAATAATAAAATTACTGAATATTAATTCTTGTGCTAATAAATAGTATCATTAATTAAATTTATAATAATTTTTAAGAATATCCATTTTCTTCATAAATTTTTCCACTTTGAAATCAAAAATAATAATGAATTTTGATTTTATGATTACTGACTTTTCATAAAATTTCATAAAATTTAATTTAATGCATTTAAGTCACTATTTATAAAAAATGCAAAAGGGATTAAAATTATGGAAATTGCCTTATAAATATATCAACTCAGTTAAACAATTATAGAATAAATGGGAACTATTATTAGGTTAGTCCAGGGGTGGCCAACTGTTTTTGCCCTTGGGCCAAATTGGAAAGAAAACTTTTTCCACGGGCCGAACCAGAGGTTGCCCTAGGAAGATTTTGTGGTGGTGCGAGATCTCATTGTGGTGTCACCCTGTAGAGACTAAATTGTGCATAGAGATTACAGATACATTTTTCACATTATCATGCTTTATCAATGTGTAGAACATTGATAAAGCATGATAATGTAAAAAATACGCTGTACTTAAGAGATTTGTAATGGAGGATTAACTCTAACCGGACAGCGAGTTGTTGACCTTTTATTTTTCTTAGGCATTAGAATTTTTCACCAATCTGTTCTGAGTATCTAATATTGAAAGATTAATTGCAGGCCACATAAATCCATTACATGGGCCACATCCGGCCCGCAGGCCATATGTTGGCCATGCCTGGCTTAGTCTGACTGTCAAAACTTCTAGGATCAACATACAAAAATCACAAAAAATCAGTGAAAATGAGTGTGTAAGTTTTACTAATGAGTTTATAATTTTGATTTAGAAATTTGAAACCAAAACTGAATGCTAATAAAATTGATTCCAATTCTTCTCATTATTTATTTATTACTTTGGAATTTTTGTTCTTAGGCAAATGAATTAGAAAATTTAATATGTTAGAAACATTTACACTATTATTTAAAAACAACTACAAGTTTTCAGTAATTATTATTATGGACATTTAAATAATGTTAAAAACAGATAAAAACTCAATAATTTAATTTAATATTGAAGTATATGATGGATCAATTTTAATTTGTATTGATGTTCTTGAGTGATATTACAATCAATAACAATTATTAGAATTAATTTTTGTGTTTTTTTTAGTAGAAAATTCATTGAAAAAATTTCAAATTTATTAAATTTTTTCATACATATAATATAGTCAAAGTAATTTTATTATACAGGTATACCTCGCCTTACGTCGATAATTGGTTCCAGGAAAACGACTTAAGTTGAAAAACGACATAAGTCGAATTTACTTGTCTCCGAATCTACTTGTCACTAGGCTAAACCATAAATTATTATTCCCAGTTCTGTATTTTATTTATTAATGCATTTTTAATAATATATGGTTAATAAGAATCTATTTTAAGCTTACAAACAAATAAATTTTAGTTTTTAATAGAGTACAGAAAAAAGTAATCTAAATTTACGAATGCATGTACTGTACTGTAAATACAGTACATACTTGTAAATGTATATATTTTAATATGATTTTATGTGCTTTAAACGCTTTTCTAGTGATATTACGACTTCAATATTTGTGGCGGACGGACGTAAAGTCGAATAAAATGACTTAAACTTGATTTTTATTTTT